TTTTTCAATCTGTATGCTGAACAGATCATTTGGGAAGCAGGGCTTTATGAAGAGCAATGTGACATGAGGACTGGAGAAAGATTTATCAACATACATTATGCAGATAACACAACCTTGCTTCCTGAAACTGAGAAAAACCTGAAGTGCTTGCTACAGAAGGTCGAGGCCTGTAGTCATCAATATGAATTGAAGCTCAACATGAAGAAAACAATGATTCTCATCACTGCATCAATAGGCAGCACCATGATAGAATGGAGAAAAGATTGAAGTTGTTTACAAGAACAGCTTGCTCTCTCCACAATCTGCACCCTTGGCACTAGCAGTCAGGAAATCAAAAGACTAATTATATTGGAAAAATTTCCTGTCAGGGAGCTCTCCTGAGTGCTGAGGAGCAATTATGTTAGTCAAGAGATTAAGGTGCACCTGATGCAGGCCATGGTCTTCACAATTGCTTGCTATGCTTCAGAGAGCTGGACAATGACTAAGGATGATAAAAGAATAGATGCCTTTGAATGGTGATGCTAGAGACTAGCCTTAAACATACCATGAACCACCAAGAAAACAAACAGGTCTGTATTGGAGAGGGTGAAACCAAGGCTGTCCACTGGAGCTAGGATTTTGAAATTTGGTCTCAGTTATTTGGCCCTGTGGCCAGGAGGTACCAATCATTAGAGAAGGAAATCTTGTTTGGAAAGGTAGAGAGACAACACAGGAGAAGAAGATCCCAAATGAGATGGATTGATACAAGTAATTGGGGCAATGGGAGTTGATGTGTTCGAATCAGTGAGACTGGCTTAGGACAGGGCAGGCTTCAGAGCTGCTGTACATAGGGTTCTTATGGATTGAGGCGATTCTATAGCACATAACAATAAAGTTAATGCACAACTAATGATTAGATTATCTTGTTATGTTTTAATGAACAATAGTTTTAGCATATACAAATTGTTGAACTTCCATACAGAGTAATATTTAAAAAAATTTGCAATGAGCTGGAGTCGGAAAATCAAGAGGGCCGAACTCTTTCAGCATTTCTTAAGCTCAAGGAACTGAAGAACAAATTCAAACCTAGAGTTCCTATAATCAAGGATGTTTTAGGCAGAATATAAAATGATCCAGGAGGTATTAAAAGAAGATGGAAGGAATATACTGAGTAATTGTCTCAAAAGAAATTGGCAGATACAGAAGAATTTAATGAAATACCATTTGAGCAAAAGCCTATGGTGATGAAGGAAGAAGCTCAAGCTGCTTCGAAAGAAATAAAAAAATAAATAGAAAGTTGTGCCAAGAAATCTGGAGAACAACCACTTTGTCAACTGACTGGAAGAGATTTGCTCCCATTCCAACTGAGTGCGGAAACTACAGAACAATATCACTGGTTTCACATGCAAGCAAGATTCTACTGAAGATTATCCAAAAATGACTGGAACAGCACATCAGCAGAGAACTGCCTGAAGTCCAGGCTGGGTTTAGAAGCGGTCGTGGTACTAGGGATATTGTAGCTGATGTTAGATGGATCTTAGCTGAAAGCAGGAAATACAAGAAGAATGTATATTTGTGTTTCATTGA